GAAAAGTGAAGTTTAATTTTGTAGCCATTTATTTAAGAGTTTGCTTGAAGCAAGGCCAAAATATCAACCGAAATAGAAAATCTAAAAGAAAATGAGGAAAAGAAAACTGTTCCTCTGCAAAAAATGCACCAACCCCTACAGACACTTTCAAAGTTTTACTTGCAGCAAAAAAAAAAAATATGTGTAAACGTTCTGATTTTAATATGTTGTGATGTTTGTGTAAATGGTCGCCGCACACAAAAGGCATAAAAATTGTGTAAAATCCGTACAATAGAAGTCACGGCGGTGTCACTAATTTTTCAGGGTAGTGACGGTAGCAGAATCTGCCTAACTGTGCAGCCCCGGCTTTGCCTGCGCCACGTACGGCTGGTCAGAGATTACTCCTAGGTCCGCCTAACTGCAAACAGCAACCGCGATATGCGGCCGATAAGCCACACGGACTAACCATTACGCAAACACGTCTCAGTTGAGTAATGTTTCAATGTGCGGGCCGGGGACAAAGTACCGTTTCAAATAACGCTGAACCGCTGAAAATTGATCCTACACCCCACCACGTTACCGGCGGTATCGATTACACGGCCGGCCAATCACGACGCAGGAAGGGACCGAAATTTGGAAATCTGAGACCCCCGCCACGTCACCACCCATATCGATTACACGGTCAGCCAATCACAACGCCGGAACGGATCGAGATTTTGGAAATCTGAGACCCCCGCCACGTCACCACCCATATCGATTACACGGTCAGCCAATCACAACGCCGGAACGGATCGAGATTTTGGAAATCTGAGACCCCCGCCACGTCACCACCCCTATAGATTACACGGTCAACCAATCAGAGGAGAGTCCTCCTAGCCAGCCAATCAGAAGTCGCCCCGCCTACATAGGTCCCCGTTTGGACAAACATATGAGCTCATTGTTTAGAACAAAAGAAAAAAGTTTGAATCAGCTGTTCGCTTGGAGCACGCTTTAACTTGTCCGAAGTCCGGGGGCATTTAACTACGGCTTTGGAAAAAAAAGTTGACTCATACAAATTTCAAAGTAGCTGACAAGCAAACAGCGAAGAAAACCTAGCTTTCTCACCCCCAAGGAACTTTTAAGTTCCCCTTTCAAGACTAAAATGTAAGAAGTCTTCGTCTAATACCACTACCTCAGAACGGACAGTCACCAAAGCACTACAAGCACCAAATGTTACCCTAATTTGAAGAGTGGTGCAGCAATCTAAAACTGCGTAACTTTTCGAATGTTTCAAGGACAAAATGGCGGAAAGTACTCACCCTTGTCCTTCAGGTCCTCGGGGTTCAGGGTAGCCTCTGTGGAAGGAAAGAGAGAGAAGGACAAAAATTAAGACATCTTAAAGTTACAAGACGATCTAAGGTGCTTAAATACAAGACGCCAAGACGACGCGCTAAGTTCACTTAAAGGTATGCGGTCGACTTTTATCGTAAGGGAAGAAAATGGCTTTTTGCCGGCTTAATTTGTGAGGCGAAGCAAAAGACGATTTTCTTTCGCCACCGTGCGGCTTACAGGCAAACCGTAGTTCGCGAAACTCAAAAGGTGATGCAAAAACGGACTTTGACGGAAAATTGGACTAAAGTCAGAAAATTTACATTTCTGAAAAAGCGACAATTGCATCGATGCATTCTTCTTTAAATTTAAAGTTCTATTGGTCCAAATCGCCTTTAGGCCTAAGAGTTGCTCAGATAATATAGCCATGCGTCCGCGTCTATTCTATGTGTTAAGGCAGCCCCAACACAACTCCAGAATAGCCAGGCCTTCCACAAAATCACTGCATTACTAACATAACCGGCACACAGCGGCCGGGTCGGCATAGTGCATCATGCTACAACTCCAGAGTACAGAAATTTGATTTGCTTCAATATACAATGGCTCAACACATTGCAAGGCTCTGCTTATGGTGAAAATCTGAAGCCAGGCAAAATGGTTCAAGCGATGAATGGCAAATAAAATAAAAGAGAAGCAACCAGGGCGAGCGTTACAAATCCAGAGTACAGACACTAAGTACTGGAACACTAACTAGGCAAAGTGGCCTACATCTAGATGCGCTCATCTTTGGTTAGAGATTGTCGCTTTAGCTCTTTAGAACAAGAAAGGTTTCTGAACATTTGTAGTCGCCTGGCTTACAGATGGATGGAATAAACGAATTGCTAAAGAGATGAATAAAAGAGACAGAGGTAGAGAAAAGGCTGTACTTACGCGCCAGGCAGACGCCCAGGAAAAAGAGTGCCAACTTCATCTTGGTGCTTCAAACTTGTCTTGTGTTGAAGTCAAGCTGAGTGAGGCCCGGTGACGGTTCTGCCGGGTTTTTATACCCCCCGGTACACAATGGAACTGCTGAATATTCATTATTGTCGTACAGCTTGCCAGATGGACCTTGGTCTCGGCTGTTTGTTCTGGCCGGTAACTCGAAGGACAAACTGGCGGATTTTCTGCTTATTCTGCTCTGCGCATGTGCGGTGGGGCAGGGAGGGAGCCACGCCCATGGACGATCCCCTGCCGTTAGCCAATCAGAAGCCGTTTCGCCGTGTGGGGTGACTTCCCCCCAAACGTCGGGCTTTTTTTTGTGCGCTGCACTGCTCTTTGGCGATCGTCGATTAAGTAGTATCACATATCGTCAACAACGTGTTTTTAACTCCGCAAGAGTGACATCATCTGTTTTTCTCTAGTTGTAACATGTAAGGAAGAAGGATGTGTTTTTGTGCTTGCTTCGCGTTTGTGCGTTTGTAAGTTTGTGTGCGTTTGTGCAAGGCGGTTTTAAACGCTTACGGCATACAAATCATTGCAGTGCAAATATGTGCATTAAAATCACAGCACTGCAAATCATACATACGTACTGATATGGACATAAGGACAATATGCCTGTACATGTGTTTCTCTTATATTTCGTCACTCTTTCTAGGGCATACAACACAGACGAGCTAGCCTCCATAGCATGCCAAAACTGGGGGTTTTGGGGGGTCTTCGGGGTCGTTGGGAGCTTTTATGTGCAATTTTCTGATTGCATATAGACAACATAGCCGGCCTGGTTGAATTACCCCCGGTTTTATAACTGGGCTAATCAGAAAACAGCCGAAGACCAACAAACCCCCAGTTCTATAAGCCTGCTGCGGAGGCTAATCAGAAAACAGCCGAAGACCACCAAACCCCCAGTTCTATGAGCCTGCTACGGAGGCTACAAACGAGCTACCGGCTGTGTCCCTAGCCCCAGTTCTGGATAGTAACGTCGCTATGACGCCCTTTGTCAGATATTTGTCACTCATGTTTGCTTTTACCTTGCAGGGAGTCTTGTAGAAGATGTCATTAGTGTTAAAATGACATGCTCTAATATTTGCTTCACTTTGTAACGCCTTAAGGTTTGAGACGCATGCCCGGTGACAGACATACGGCGTCGCAAACTGAGAGCATTTTCGGCATATATCATATGTAAGTTTTGGCTGTGCATGTGTCCTGCAAAATTAAACGGTGTCTTTGGGAGAGAGGCAATCTTAGATCCTTGTCGGCGTTTGGTTCTGTCACAGTCTGGTTGAAAATTCTTTGCCATCAAAAAACTTAAGACTTCAAATCTAAGACATAAGTCACCACGCCGGTATGCACGTGTCTCTGTAGTCTTGGAAGACAGCCAGGTTGCAAAAGCGACCCCCCAACTCTCCTGTTATCACCTTCTCTATATAATAAAGACAGTAACGTTGCACCTTAAATCCAAACTTTTTATCATACTGTGTCTATCTAGCTAGTTCTATGCCTGAATGGGTTAGGGTTAGGATCAGGTACAGTTCTGGATAGTCTCTGTGTATCCAAGAACGTAGCTTTGCCCCATGCACGCACGGTTCTGGACACATCCAGAACCGTGCCCGAGCATGGATGCAAAAGCATGGTTCTGGATAGTCTCTACGTGTCCAACAACGTAGATTTGCCCCAGGCTCGGTTCTGGATACGCGTGGCTATTCCAGGCTCGGTTCTGGATGCTCAGTTCTGGATACGCGTGGACTATCCAGAATCGTGCCCGAGCTTGGATACAAAAGCATGGTTCTGGATACACCAGCCTTAAGGTTATCCCTGCGACGTGTCAGCACGTTTGTAAAAGTTAATAATGGCCCCGCCGCACGTGCGTGTGCCTGCGGTTTTCGCTGACCCAACACCACACACATAAATCACTACCAACAGTCGGTCCCAGCGTTACAAACAGCCTGACCATTAGAGGCCGGGGTTGGAGTCTTTGACCCGCGTGCAAACATGTTTGCCGAGACATCGCGGCGCCGGAAAAACCCCTGCGTAGCCCGGCAACGGTCCAACGCGAAAACAGCGAGCTGCGAGTTAGTAACTTACTCCGGACCTGCATGTGTTAGTCTCTACAAGACTAACTACGCTGGCTATATATAGGAGAATATTTGCCAGGGGAGTTTGGCCGCCTTGGTGGCGCGAAAGAAACTACCTCCTCGCGGCCGGACTCCCAATTTTACTCTCTTTTTTGCCGAATTCTGCGATCCGTATTCCTGTAGAAAGGCCTGGTGGCTAGTACATGTACAAACCTCGAGCCTGGATGCCATAGCCTCTACCAGGCTTCGGGAGGCGGCTGGAAAGAGTAGAAATCGGGCAAATAGAGAGATAACATGCCAGGGGAGTTGGTCTGCAGGGAGAGAATAGTTCGAGTGAGGTAAATGTTCTCTCCCAGCAGACTTGTTCTCTACTATGTCCAGCCGTCTCCCGAAGCCTGGTAGAGGCTATAGATGCCAGGTTCCAGGTTGTTTCCAGGGTCAGTACACAGCCCAGCTCCTCGGTTAGACCCTCAATGTTTATGGTAAATTCATATGGCAGATTTTGGCCCTGGAGCCAAGGAGCTCACCTGTATATCTACTGACTCTGGCGACAGTCTGGTACCCAGGCTAGCTTAAATAGTCTGGTAGCCAGACTGTTTCCAGGGCCTGCATAGGCCAGCTCCTCGACTCCAGAATGAGATACCTGCAGATCTTTTATTCGCCCCCTTGACATCATATTCAATATTCATTCATTCGTTCATTCACACACACACACTCACTCACAATATCTCGCTCACTCTGGTGGATTACACGCTTTCAGGCTTGAGCTAACCGCAGCCTAATAATGATCAACTGCGTGCCAATAGATACAAGGCGTGAGGGCAGAGTTGTTGCCACACTGTCATCTGTCAGAGGGGAGGGTACATGTAAGAAGGGATGGAAAACAAGTGGAGGCAAAACAACAAGCAAAACACATGGCGAGTCGAACTCAGCTGGTCAACATGTCCGTATATGTCGGCATCAAGGTCATTCTCCAAGCAGATGTTATTGGTTTTGCCTTTTATAGTATAGGCTATAGCTTGCTTTGTACGTACGTTTTGCATGTAGAGAGTATAGCATTGCAGAACCTAAAATACGTACAAGTTAGCGAAAAGACGTCCTGTCGTGAAATAAACAAGTCGCAGTGACACTAGTTGGTGACTTGCCAGGTAAACTATGTTGTTTGTAACGCCAAAGTGTTACTCTGTGGACACACGCTACACTGTTTATACACAGCAAATACGGAACGCAATAACATGTATCCTCTATTCAACCGCTTCGATACATATTACAAAGGTTTCTTTCAAAACGCCAACACTGCAGGTTTCTTAGAAGTACAAAGGAGTCATAAAAACAACCTGGAGACGCTGACCAGGTGTATTAATAAGGCCACACCAATTTACTTGGTTGTTTCTCGGATTCGCCCTGTCCATTTTGTTCTGATCTCAAAAAAAAAAGAAGATTTTCCTGTTCTAAATTAATTGGCTCCAACGGTTCAAGAAAGTCCTTTTCTTCCTAAGTTTTACAATGTAACAATGCAATTTTGTTTCATTAAAAGTTCAAAATCAATTGTTTTAATTATAAACCAGCCTGGTGTGTTCACTTCATGGCTCATATTCTAACATTTCTGGCTATTATGGGGTGCCTTGGCTTATTTTTTTTCACCCTCTCGCTTCATATTTTTTCTGAAAAAATCCGAGAAACAACAAATTAAATTAGTGTGGCCTAAGCTCTTGTCTGTTGTAATTAAACAAGACCGGGGGCTTGGGAAGAATGTCCGAGTCAGCACTTTTGGCCTGGGGACCGGGTATTTTTTTCCGTCGGTCAAAACATCGGAGCTTGTTTTTCTGGGGTCGAGTTTCAAACCGCAGTGTGTAGCCTACAGACGGGACAGGGTTTCATCAACAATATCACTCGGAAATCTGGTCTAGTCGGCGGTTTTTGTCACGCATAATATTCTGAACGCATCCAGGTAGTGGGGAATTATATAGAAATACATACATAAAAATAGCTAGATACATTCACAGATAGATAGAAAGATATGTAAGTAACGTTACAGGTATTTGATTGAAATGGATCTGGACGTAAAAATGCGTACGAAAGATGACTTTTTTCAGTGCTAGTCATAAATTCAAAATGACGACACTTTCCTACCATATGATTAAAAAGAATCTTTCAATCACTACGTTATAAACAGATTATTTGCAGATCGTCAAAATAGAAGAGATGGAAAAGACACAACGTTATAACTTCTGACAATTTAGATTGGAACGTCTGTGACTATATGATGGCGCATGTTGTCAACTTTGGCTTAAAATTCTGTCATTCTTGACTTTATGCCAACAACGTGAGCGCCGAACCCTTTAAAACAGGAACCAACACAACAGCTGGTAAGGATAAAAGTGTTCCTCTTTTCGGCTCCGGCCAGGCACAGGGTTGTTTACGGCCGGCCCAGCTGACGTTACCATGGAGACGGCGTCCTTCCGGCGGATCAGGTTACAGCTATTGCATCATCTCTGAGCGCGATGTTTTTGCCGCTCAGGAAAGTTGACTAGTACTGGCTTGAACATATAGCGTTAGTCTAAAAACACTTCTTTCTATGTTATTTAGAAGAAATATTGTAGTATTACTAAAAAGGATTGGAAAAAGATAGCTTCCAGCTTGAAACAACAAGAAAACAAGACTAGTGACTGGATTTATCGTCAAAAAACACTTCTTTTTAGCTTATTTAGAAGATATATGGTAGAATCACTAACAGAGCTTGGAAAAGGATAGTCCCCAGCTTCAAACAGCAAGGTTTTCTGGGCTCCGTATGTTCCATAAAGTTGAATTAGACTTTAATGTAAGTTACTAAAGTTGAATTAGACTTTCACGTTCTAGGAGACCCAAGACCTACGGTTGACACCTATCGTACCCAGATCCGTGCCTATCTAGTTCTGTGCCTGAATGGGTTAGGGTTAGGATCAGGCACGGTTCTGGATAGTCTCCGCGTATCCAAAAACGTAGATTTGCCCCAG